GACGTTCTGCGTGATTTCAGAGGGAGCGCGGACGTTCTGCAGCGACGTTCTGCGTGATTCCAGAGGGAGCGCGAACGTTCTGCAGTGACGTTCTGCGTGATTTCGGAGGGAACGCGGCTGGCTGTGGGGACGGAACCTCTTTATTTTCCGCCCCCCACCGGGTCAGAGCTGTAGTTCTCCCGGATAACGCGCAGAGGCGCTGTAGAAAATGGTCCGGGGTTCGAGGGCATGGATGGACTCCAAGTCATTTCGGTGGGTTTGGATTTCATTTTTTAAAGTACACCTGTGTCACAATCTCTTTTTTTTTTTAGCCCAGCCGGGTGGGCTAACTGGTTCCCAGTCCTGGTCCAGGTGACTCACACACCTGCTGGGTTTCAGCCCAGCCCACCTTCATTGGATAACTGAAGCCTTACTTGATCGAAGACGTTGCTTCAATTGCATTTTTGAATTTCGCTTCTTGTCACAAGGTGGGGATTTTATTTCACTGGCAGAACGCATCGTTTAAAGCTCCAGCATGTTTCAGACCTAGGAACAGACAGTTCAAATCTATCATGATTATTGATATAATTAAGTCAATGAAGGGTTTGAGTGTGGAACTGAGGGCTCAGCTGGAACAGAAACAACAGGTGTGTACAGGTCACCAGGACCAGGTTTGGGAACCACTGCTTTAACTACTGAACTGCTGCCATCCAGAGCTCAGAACTCCTTTGCAGTGCTACAGTAGTTCACTGCTTGTTTGGCTGTGATAGAGTAACCAGAAATGTACAGAGACAATTCTCCCTCTGTATCGACGGGTAAATGAACACAGTGACTGATGATTGCACTAAAAGACGATCATTTGGAATTTAAAAACCCACAGACAAGAAAGAAAACAATGTCCATCGAGGCACAGATAGCTTTCTCAATGAGCGAAAGCCGTGTTGCTTTAACATCACCCCGGTAGACGGTGGACTTTTTTTTTTATCAATGAAAACATTTCTAATGTCTCTGCTTTCCGAGCCAGTGCCTCCTTATTTAATTCCATTCGATTAGAACTGCCGCTCTCTGGTTTATGAGTTGATTAAAATAAAAATCAAACGCATCAGGGGTTGAATTCTCTGTTCCCCCTCCGGGGGCCGTTACAGACGAAGGATGTGAAAATGTCCTGCTTTAAAAGGCAACTTGATGATGGCGCCTGTTTAGAACTGACAGAAGTAATGTTAACCGCCCACCTCCCACGTAGTCGTTCTTGCACACAATTGCTCCGCGCTTAACGACATTCATGTGGCACATAACAATAGTATAGCGCCTACGAAGGCACGGACCCGGTAAACAGTCACGTCGCTTTTTATCTGTCTCAGGACTGGAGTGGCTGCCTCTTACCCTCCACGCTAGAGTCATTGTACATGTGATTCTGAGTACTTAACAGTAAAGTACAGCAAACATGGCCTTTAGCAATCTATGCAAAAAAAAGGACGAGTTCCTGGCTTTTCTTGGTGTGTCTCCTTCCTCCTGTAGTCATATCCTTATCCTGACTTTGGGATGGAAGGGATCGGTATTGAAGGTAGTGTTTAGGCAAAGCCTGCCTTTAAAAAAAAAAATAGCAGTGTGCTATTGATCCGAGGAAAAGTTTAATTTCACAGTCATGTCACCTGAAATGACTGTATCTGATTAGTTGGTGGACTCATTTGTTTGAATTTTGTTTTAGTTTGGCAGCTGAATCCTGCTTCGCAGTTAGAAAAGGACCTTGCAGCGATTCTGACTGGCTCGTTGGATCTGAGGGGTTTCAGCACTCCTCACACTGTGTCTCCGGGCCAAAGAGCATCGGCCTCGGGCAGATCAGGAGAACTAGGCAGCAAATCGCAGTGAGGCGCGTGGTCTGGTTCTGTATGTGCAGAGCTTTTTAAGAGATCTCTGTCCAAAAGCGGGTCTGTGTTCCTCAGGCCTGTCTGCGGTGGCCATTAAGGGATAGCTTGATGTTTTCATGCCTTGAGTTCTAAATTCTTAATTGGCTCTGATTTCAAATTTTACCCTGTTTTGCAGTGTGTGTGGAGTTTGCTTTTGTACAGCATCTTAAGACATGCGCTAGAGCAAGTCCTCTATAAATAAAATGTATTGCATTCCCTTCCGAGGGGGAAGAAGAAACATCCGCCTGCTGTTTGTATAATAAGGATTATCTTTAAATAGGAATCGCATGCACAATGCTGTTCTGTGATCCTTATGGAAAAAATAAGGCATGGCTTTTTCATATTATTGCTATTTTCTCAAAGGGATCTATTCAGCTGTGCATTGATTGCAGAATTTAAAAGGAACATGCGAGATAAAAGAGGATTAAAAATGTTGCTCGTGTAAAAATAGTCAAGTCGGTAAACTAGTTGTCAAGAGTACAGTGCCGTGCAAAGAGAAAACACTCAAAAATAGGACATTAGGAATACATATTCATGATAAACCGAGGAAAAGCTACAGATTAAAGCAGATAAGGCACTGGTATGAGTGAGCAGCATGGAGTAGCTTAGCTCATTAGGGAGATGTGGACATTATGAAGTATGTCATGGTTAAACAGGACTCAAGACTTGCATATTAAGGTCCTGTAAAAAGTTTTTACACATCTTCTTCCTACAGGTTCAAGATTTCCTGTTTTTGTAGAGGTTTTCTTGGTACTTTTATTTTTACCACTAGTTTTAGTGGTAAAATAAAAAATATTTTTACCACTAAAACTAAGTTTGTTGCCGTTGCTCTGGAACGCTTTCGAGAACCCTACAGAATACGTATCAAGGTAACTTGGGCAGCAGCTGCTGGTTCTTCCCAGCAAGTTGATGGACTCAGTTGGAGCCGAAAAAGCCGATGATGATGAAAGAAAGGTGGGGTGTCTCCGACGATCACTCGGCAGCTCTCATGTTGCCAATTAGGCCCTGGTCTAATTTTCAATAGGTGATTGACGTAAATGTGCATGTGGAACTTTTAATTGGGCAATGACTGATGCACTGCAGCTGTGCAAGTGGGACAAAGTATCGGTCTTACAGAGCAGATGTGCATCTTCAATGCAGGCGAGTTATAATCTTGACGTGCAGCACAGCCGTTGTGCTTATCCAGTGAGTAATGTAGTGCATAACACGTCTGTTGTGCTCCGGAGAATTGGGTGTTAATGGCAAGTCGTGGGTCTCTGTCGGTCAGTGGCAGTATAATTTCTTTACCGAGTGAGTGCCTATTGGTAGCCATGCTAAAGGAATGCTGCCTGTTCTTGGTGGACTGATGGGGTAATCAGTGTGCCTTGTTCCTGTGTCCATTTCCATGTCTATTAGAGTGATCTTGGAAACTAAGCTGGGCTGCACCAGGGTAGAAGCGGGGAATATAATGTAGCTGCTGCTGTAAGTGATGCTGGACCAGCAGGCGGTGCTCTTTCGGTGCTCTTCAGTACAGTGATGTACGCCATGCTGTCCCCTGGATGAGATGATAGACTGAGGTCCTGTCTGCTCGGTCAGTAAAGATGCCATGACACTGCTGGTAAGAGCAAGGATGTCAACGCTAGCGTCCCGGGTAGATTCCACTGTGAGCTTGCACTGGCATCTAGTTGCCCTACATTTCCCCCGTAATTCAGCTGGTGTGGGAATTTCTCGCTTTTCTGCCTGATCTGATGTGAACCATCCAGGTTGATGCTGTGGGTGAAATTGGTTGTATCCTACTCTCTATATAAAATGCTCTTGGATCCTTACACTCCCTCGGAATTCTGTCATATAAATGCAGCACCAGGTAGTAGTGTTCAGGGTTATGAACTCAATATGGGAAGGCTGTGAGTCATTGATGTAGATCACTCCTCTTGTTCTCTCCAGCAGAGTCCTGTGTATCTGTTGGAATGATACAGTAACTACCCGGTAAGTTGTTTTTGTCCAGTAAGAAGACAATGACACTTGTTGTCTTTTTTTATTATTTTCTTGTCCTGATTGGACAGTTGTAATTTTCATGTGGGGAAATGGCAGATCGCTTGTGATTTAAGGCATCCAGAGGTGTTACAGCAAGTCCCTGGGGAGTCTCCTTTAAGACACCGAAACACATTGCAGTGGTCTTCTGTTCCACTGCGCTGGTTTCTGGAAGTCGATATCCGTGGTTAGTGTTGGATGGGAGTATACACACATTCCAAGTTGGTCCATATTGATTGAGTAAACTGTACTGCTGGTTCAAGTGCTTATTTGTTATTTAAAATTCTGCGCTTCTGTTCTTGTTACATTGCTAAGCGTTCTGCACATGAATGATACCATTTTTATTCGTCCAATATAATCGAAAACTGGCAGACACTGGCGTTTTAATTTCAAATTCTTCTGGAACAGATGAGGTGTATGAAAGTGATTTGTATATATACAGTATATTACCCTGTGATATGTAAAAATCACAGAAAATGAACTTCATTTATATATACAAAAGTACAAAATGCTCATTAAATATTGATTCTGGCAGTATTTGGAATGATCTGCTGGAGATCTCAGCTTTTGAAAATCTAGCAGAAAGTCATTGATTGTCAGAGCTAACAAGCACCCTAGGCATACATTTACACTAAAGTTGACAAACTTTCTCCTTGAAAGTCAAATATCCTCATTTTCCAGATTTGGCTGGAAGCTGTACTTGCTTACTACCGGCACAGCAATCGGATTTCATTCTCAGGAAAACAAGACATAAGTGTTTACATTTTTTTTTTCTAGCATTGATTTCTGAGCATCATACCCATCATTAACTTGGCATTTCTGCCTGTCCACTAAACAGTTCTCTGCCGATTGTTAATGCTCATATATACAAAGCAAAGGAAATTAAAACAAGCTGCAGGAAGACGGGAGACTCTGGCCCATTGAAAGTCGAGATGGGAATGTTATTTAAAATATTTATTAGTCGGTACAAACTTGGTGGATTGCAATACACGATGCTGGAGTTAGTTCTCACAGAAGTGCCCTGTAGGATAAGCAAGGTACTTTAAAGTGTGCGTCTCACTTTAGCTGAAGACAATGATGCATTGAATCAACATTGTGATATTGTGGAAACAAACAACCCAGAAGGTGGAGATGCTCTCTTTCCTCTGTTACAGGTCTGCCTTGTGGGTCTCCTTTAATTGGCACTGCTGCCTGCCTGCCTTCCCCTGGCAGCCCGGTTCCCAGAGATGAGGTCTGATTCTTTCAGCGCCCCGCTGAGGCACAGTCACTCAGGCAGGCAGGCAGGCAGACTGGCAACCGGCTGAGGGAGGAGCAAAGCTGGGGAGCAGTCTCTGCTGTTCTGTGCCGAGCCGAGTCGCTTGCTCGCTGTGTGTGTGCGTGCGTGTGTGAGTGAGAGAGAGAGCCGCGCGCTGATGCTCCGAGATTGAGAATGGAACAGCGCTGAAAGAGGCAGAGAGCAAAGCCGAGAGCTCACTTCAGCTGGAGAGTAGAGCGAAACTGTGCGCCGGGCGACTGGGGGAGAGCGGGCTTAGGGGACGAAGAGAGAATTGAGAGGGGGGAAAAAAAGAGGACGCTGAAGAGCAGAACACGACCTCACCCTCGAAAGAAAGAATAGAGGAGCTAGGGAGGCTCGAATTACTGTCCTGAACTGTAATATAGAACACCGTAGTATCTTGACTGAAGTTAATGTCTGTTCTTGCTTGCTGCTCCGTACATATGACTTCTTCACCAGTCATGACCGCCTGCATCTTTTTCTACTTTTGGCTTGTGGGACATGGTAAGGAAACTGGTTCTACCTTCTGTTTGCCCTTAATCTCTTGTACTGTTTTATGTCTAAGATGAGCAAACCTGTATTCGTGCGTTCCTGCCTTAGTTTTCCCGGTTTGGAGGGCATGTGCTCCCAGCTTAGCTCTGCTGAAAAAGGCATGCTATTGCATACGCAGCTGGAGAAAAACAGATTAATTTGCAAGTTGCATGGAGTGAGCCTCGAAATGTAGCTGGAGGGAATCTTGGTTAATACTTGAATACCTGCTCTTATTAGGGCTCTGCTGTTTTGTGTATGCCAAAAATCCCTTAGCAATCCCTAGAGCGTGTTGAAAACAGTTCAGAGAAACCGTCTGTTCCTCAGGGAGTTGCAGGGATGGGAATCCATCCAGCTCAGGATAGATTGGTGAGGAGGGCTTTTAAATAAGCGCTGGAATGACCATACAAGACAAAATGAGGATTTGTAGATGTGGTGCTTTTGGGAACAACTGTGGCTGACATCCCCACCTGGAGAGCCACAGCATGCTGCCTGCTCTCCGATATTTCAGATGTTTTTTTAATGTTGAAAATATCAGTACAGTGCTTCACCTCTTAGCCACCAGGTGGTTTCCTCAAGGGTGGCCAAATAAACACCTGGCAAAAGAAGAAAGTAACTGAGGTGATTTTTTTGGTGTAATCCTTCAGGTTTGGTGTTGGTTGCGTGCTCGTGGTTTCTTACAGACCTGTTCCGAGCAGTGCCACTGGCGAAGACCTGCGAGCTCTCTCTGTCCACGTTTGCAGGCTTGCACAGTGTTGGCTCCTTCAGGTTGCAGTGTTGTGTATTTGCGTGCCGGCTAGTGTGCCTCACCTCCCAGTGCCATTGAAGTGAAGGGTGGCAATGCGATCTTTTATATTGGAGTCACATAGCACATAGCACTGTCTTTTTGAGGGCCGTGATTGAAAATGGAACATTTTTCACACTTCAGCTTCTTGTCCTCACAAGCTGTTTTTGTTCAGTTCCTAAAGTTTTATTTTCACCGACGTGCATATGGACTTGATGAAATTAAACCAGATGTTCTTCTACTGTACATTTGTCGCACACACGCGCGTCTGCAGTGATGTCTTTTCAATTTAAAACTGGCAGTTCCTAATGTGGGGGGGGGAAATATGGCTTTTTTTTTTACCCAGAAGACTCAAAATCTCAGCATCTGCACACTAAGAGAACATATTTGTGTGTATCCAACACATACCACTAATTTGAAACTGACACCAGTAATAAAGGTTTTAATATTGCTCTCGGCAGCGCTGTTTCACGAACGGTAGATCAAATCTCAAGAGGCTGTCAGTTTTATTATCTGTTTTTATGGGTGTGAGAGTGCGTGCTGCGAAGTTGGAGCAGGAAGAATGGTTTCAGTCTACAGTTCGTTAGTCTGCAGCGGGGTTGCTGGGCTCTCTGCTGTTGCTCCCAGAAGAGCACTTGCTTCTATAGGTGAGGTTTTACAAGTGGCCCTGCCTGCCCCCTGACATGAATGAGCCCCGTTTTACAACAGCGCATGAAAGGGCAAACGCAGTTAAGATGAAACAGCCTTTTCTCGCCTCGTCCCTGGTGAAAGTACGGCGTGTAAATCGCAGGAGAGGTTTAATGTACGTAATTACTAGAACAGGGGATCTCTTTACAGCAGATAAGAACGGAGCTGTAAATTCCGGCAGTGAAGATGTCAGGGACTGCAGAGTAAAAATAATCATTTTTTTTTTCTGTAATGCAAGAGTTGGAGATGAGCTGATAGTTCTTTTAATTCTCTTGATAGGGGGTGTTGGGGGGGGGGCGGACCTAAGTCTAGTTTCTATTGTGGAAGGTGATTCCTCTTTTCAGTTATACCATGTTTCTTTGATTGAATCCCCATTTAAAAAAGAGAAACGTTGTTTTTTTTTTGCAGTCCATGCCAGTTCGGTTTAAATCTACACGACCGCTGCGACATGGGCAGTGCATGTCTGAATGGTCTACGGGCAGCGTAATTAAGATGTTTTTGTGTTAACAGATTGCATGAAGGCCAGTACATTCAAGGCTTCAGAAATGAAATAATAAAATGGTGCTAATAGACAGGTTGATGGATAAGGTGAGGAATTAGCAGTCCGGTGTCATTGTGTTCTTTCTCACCATAATAGGAGCTGTCAAGCTGGAGGACAGATACTTGAAGCCACTGAATTCTTGAGTTACAGCTGACACAAGGCTGTATTATTTTACAGTTCAGCTCAGATGGTTATTACTATAATATAAAATAATGTCGGCTCTGCCAGGTAAACATGAGCTAACAGCCTGCTCCTCTCTTTTTTTTTTTTACCAGCCCCTTGGGAGCCCTCTTTTCCCCCTGTAGCTAATTCTTGTTTTACAAATTATTGCTCTGTTTGTCGCAGCTTCTGTCGGCAGACAGAGGGGTGGAAAAGGAGACATTTTCTTGTCTGTCACCCCCCGCAAAGCAGGATTCTTCCTCCGTGTCTCTCTCAGCGATGCCTTGTCTCTGTGAAAAATGAAGTGCGCGTGGAAGCTCATCTTTGTGCCACAGAGGTCACTCTCACGGGCTCCTGTCAGACAGTTGTCAAAGGCTGTCATGAAGCCTCACCTAAAAACCTCTATAAATAAACATGGGAGGTCGCGGGGCTGTGAGGCAGCCTGAAGACGTATGCTGGCATGTTAATTAATCTGTGACAGTTTAACGGTACCGCTATTATCGGTGAGCTAATGAGATCCTTTTCCTGTTTCTGTCTTTGATGTCTCGGGTGATAAAAGATGGGGCTAATCAGTATATTTTGAAAGGATATAGTCATTTCATTTCCATAGAACAACAATCCCTGTGCATAATCCCACAAAATGCATTTATGATGAATAATTTCTTAAAATAAGGAGCTGCTAAGAGTTGATGGTTTTCCTCGCACTTCTCCTTAGCACTGCTGCCCCTAGCTTTCTACACTGGGGGCACTGCTGCACCACAATCCCCACGCAGTCTCTCTCTGTGCCTCTTCCTCTGTCCCCCCCCCACCCCCCCTCACCCCTACCAGCCTCTTTTTTTCCTCTCCTCACAAGCACACGTTCGCCATCCCTAATGACTCTCCTGCAAGCTCCACACATCGGAGTTTTAAGTCGCAGGATTCTCATCAGAGCTCCTTTTTAACCTGGTAAAGCAGCCAGGACTTCTCCTGGAGTTTTTTTTTCTTTCTTTCTTTCTCTCTACTGTGAATCCCAATCCTGTAATTACGCGGTGGGAACACTCTGAAAACCCGTGTTTAAGCAGTTGAAGCCGTTGGGAGTTCGAAACGGGCGATTGTTGAGCACGTTGACCCATTCATATTTATTGGCGATAGTGGCGAATGACGTCTGCTGTTACAGGGAAAACCTCATTTTGTTTTTGGACAGCGGCGTGTTCTTTTGATGCTGTTCTCCCTTCTCAAAACCAATTGAAGGAGGGCTTGATAAACATCATGCCCTGTCAATTCTAGCTAGTGCTAACATGCAGAAAAGAGCATAAACATAAACACAGCACTGACCAGGCAAAATGACATCGTTTGTGAATTAGACATGTAGCATTCCAAAGTGGTGCAGAGATATTAGAAGTATGGATTAATTTCCGTTTTTTTGGCTGATCTGTATTTTTAATGACGGGGAGTGAGAATGAGATTAACAGTTCGAGTGTGTCGCTTTGGGCTTTGTTTGTTTGCGGGGATGATTCCAGCAGTTGGCCTCCAATCCTCTGACCTCCTGCTTCCCTCTGTGTGATGTCAGCCGGTGCCTAATCCACCGCAACCTGGAGTGGCTAAAATGGCTATCTTAGGGCTGCTAGTTTAACTCTTGGTAAATAAACAAAACTGAAAGGCTGGTCGTGAAGTCTTTAGTCCATCTGGTCTCCTTTTAGTTTGCCTTTGTGGCCCGAAAAACAAAACGTTTTCTGCAACCTGGCTGTTGTCTGAATCAATAGGCTATGCCGAATGAAATTGGGTTACATGCACTGGGTGATGTTCATTGTGGACAGCAGGGAGAGAGATTCTCTTGCGCTGGGTTAACGAAGCACAAACCTGCTGTACAGGACATCTATGTTCACGTCTAGATGTATTCCCTTAGCTCTGTGATATTTTCAGAATTATGGATTTTGATTACCTTCTTGAATTTTTCTCCTACCAAAACAGGTAATAAAGCACCACATTAAAATGTGCAGCAGAATATAACGTATTTAGTCTCTGATTGTAACTACAGCGCGTGCATATAATGTACACGCATGTAAATCTACCCAGATTCTTTAAACAATATGCTAGACAGCTGCTTGTTTTCCCTCAAAAACATATTTGCATTTACTAATGTATTTATGATGGTGCTTCTATGAAATCATAGCCATTAAGCTTCTTCAGGAAATAAAAAACAGAGTCCCCCCCACCCCTCCCTCTTCCCTCTCTGAGAAATTCTGCTTGGATGTCATTCCCATGGGATGAATTTATCCAGATTGGGGCACTCTCGGCAAAGGGAATTATCCTGGATTACACGCTGGCTGGGTGCAATATTAAGTAATTCAACCAGATGCTGCTGTGATCGTAGGTCACCTGTGGAGTGAAGATTTCACACTGGCTCCTCCTTCGACATATTTATTTGATACCAGCCTTTTTATTTAATCGTATTCCGGTTTATACGGTCTCCCCCGCCCGTCCCCATACTCACGGATCTGCAGGAGCCTCTTCCCGGTCCTTTTTAACATATTACAAGATAAATTAATGGCTTTGATATTGCTACTTAATGGACGTAAAACACAAGCAGTGTTGTTTTCGTCTGTGCATTTCCACTTTACGAGGCTCAGTAAACACTTAGCCTGGGACCGGGTGGAATGCAGACTCCGTCTTCAGCTTTGCCTCTGAATGCAGAAATGCCATGAAGTATACAATTCATTGCCTTATCCGTCAAGAGCTTTGACCTCTCTTTTCGCAGAGTGTTGAGGATGTTCTTTTAACGATCACGGAGCTCTCTCCAGGGCAATCCGTCACTGAACCTGGGAA